GCTGCAGTCATGCAGCAGAGGGAGGACCTGGAGCTGGAGAAGAGCCCCGAGGGAGCCATCCCCATGGCTACCCCCACTCAGCACAGCGGTTAGACTTAGATGTGACCTGAAGCAAAGTCCTCTAGCCCCTCCATGTACCAACTACAGTAGGCGGGTGATCTGAAGGCTGTATTAAATTCATATATTTCCCTTAATCCATGACTAATAAGCCCACCTTTTAGCAACTCAGAAGGGCAGACATTTACAAAACGCTGTACTGTTGTGACTGGCTTATTTATGGCACTGGTTCAACTAAAGCCGAGCATGCGGTTAACTCCATCCCGTGATGGCGCGCCTTTGCGCGCACAACTCTCTTTTAAGCAAGTCTGTGACGGGATCTGAGCCCGTGCTCAGGCTGGGGGAGGGATGTCTCAGCAGTAGAGCAGGCAGGAGCAGGCAGGAGCGTGCCTGTGCTTTCCCAACGGGCAGTCAGTTTAACACCTGCCAAAGCACCCCAGTCAGCGAGCAGAGAGGAATTCCTGAGATGTAAGCTGTGCTCATTCCTAACACATTTCACCTTCCAATACAGGCAGGAAGCAGGATCCAAATTTTTCAATAGGACAAAAATACCTTTTCATTCCCTCGCTATGCTAGGTGTGGCCTGGGAACGCCAACCAGGTGAAAAAACCTGCCTGGTACCTGCACCAGCACAGCCCTCCCCACATGCTTCCTACTCAGACAGGCATCCCTTCTGCAAAAAGGGGAGAGGCGGGTAAGCAGGATGCATTTTGTCTCTTGCTTACCTAATAAAAAAAAAAATAGATCATAAATTATGGCTGGTTTCCAGGTCCTCATTATTGTCCAAGTAGCATTAACAAAGGCGAGAAGGCAAACGCAGCGCGTACCCAGGGGACCTAGAAACACCCAGCCGTTCCCAAAATAGGAGCAACTTGGCGAGTCGTGGATGGAGCATGGCCGGGACCCCCCCTTCCCAGCACTCCGCTCTCCCAGGCAGCGTTGCAAGCAGCGGGTCAGGAGGTGCATTCCTCTGACAAAAATACTATGAGAAAAAACGACCGAGCGGCAGCCCCAGCGCAGCCCCCCGCAGAAGCCACTGGAGCTGCACTGGCCCCCTTCACCTCTGTGATGGTATTGGGACTGACAGACCCCTGGGAAAAGGGCTGCTTCTCACGACGTCCCCGCAGAGTGCCTGGCACTGCCTGCGGCCCTTACGGGATGCTGTGGTGCTGAGAAATTGTGCTGAGATCCTGGCTGTGTCAGGAAAGAGAGAGATATGTAGTAGCACTCATTGTAACAAAAAAAAAAAAAAAAAATTAAAAAATAAGAAAACCCTGAAATCAGCACAAAACCCAACAGCAATCAGCTCATTGCCATAGGAACAGGTTTAGTGTTATGGCAGCCAGACAACTGGGTCCTGTAGGCTAGTGTCCTTCTGGTAACCTTGGGAAAATCATCGGCTCTTAATTACAAATCTGGGGGAACATCGGATATTAGTGTTTGTACTGCCACGTTACATCTTGGCTCTGGCTAAGGCTTCCCTTGGCTCCCAAGGTGCTGGAAGACAAACATATATTTTCTTTTCATTTCAAGATAGCTGAAAGCCACGGCCTGAGCAGTGATGAGAACTGTATGCGATTAGGAATAAATGAATAAAACATTCTTAAACAAACAAACAGAAATCCCCTGGCCTCAAATCCCAGACTAGGACACTGGGGAGCCAGAGGGATGCTGAAGTGGTGGAAACCATTGGGCCAGCAAGCCCGAATCGATACCTGGCACTCCACAGTGGACCAGCTCCACTGCAGCAGCAGCAACCGACCTGTGAAACATCCAACAGGGCTCAGGGCTTGGGTCTGCATTTTGGGGTCTCAGCATAGGAAGTTTTGGGTCTCGGCATGGCACCCAATTCCAACCAGATAGGACAGCGAGCCTCTACTGAGATGCTGCCAGTGCACCTTACAGAGGGTCGTCTTCCACCCTGGGCTGCACTGGTGTTGCCTGCAAGACCACACTGCTCCACGTCAGCTGCTGCACGACTCCCAAGCCCAAGGAGCCCATGACACGCTCATTTTGTATTTCTTGCAACTGTGCAGATTGATTTTGCCTAGCCACAAGGCACAATGCAGACTTAACTGCTTTGAGGTCTGGCAGATTTGGGTTATGTCCAGTTAGCAAGCCCTTTCTAAAAGCTAGGCTAATAGCAGTGACTCTTTGGCCCAAGCAGCATGTCCCACAGCACTCGCAGCACGCAAAGGAGCCCTTTCCTTTATTCACTTCCCATTTCCTGCCCATTTGCTTCAGCAGCAAACTCCCCGGTCTCAGAGTGTGGGTGGGATACATGGAGAAGAAAGGAGCAATCCCTCCCCACCGGACTTCTCCTCCTCCACTGTCTCCACCTCCCATCATACAGTATCAGGACCACGAGCTGTTTCGCCCTGCCCCTTCCAGGAAGGACGAAGCTTGCAAACACAGCCCTTCTGCTGAAAAGCAGCTTTTCCGGGGAAAGCATGGAAAGAGATAGCAGCACCCGCAAGCAAAGATGGACATGCAGTTTCCACATGAAATCAATGCAATAGCGCAGGGGGAACTGCCTCCCCTGCGTAAATGGCATCCCCAGGCAACTTTGCTCATTAAGAGGAGATCAGCTGCCAGAGAAGGTGGAGGAAGGAGAGACCCTGCAGAGCAACCCAAACCTCCCCGCTCTGATTTTGTTATTCCAGGAGGAGAGGGGACGGGAAGGAATGTCGGAAGGCTGCAAAACAACCAGCTAACCCTGAGGGTGCGGGACCATGCTAGGTTCAGCCCCTCCGTGTCACAGCACAGGCTGCACACCCACCGCAGCAGGCTACCCCACTCCAAAACAGCCCCGGGAGCAGCCCTGGTGCTCCCTCTCGCTTACCCTTGTGCGAGCGAGACCAAAGTTACATCGCTGCAGGCTGCAGTTAATGCAAGGAGCAGCTGAAATGGCCAGAGCTTGCACAGGCAGCCTCCCCATCACCTTGCGTACTGTGGGGTGAGTGCAACCAGCCCTCTTATCTTTGCTGCGAGCATCACCAATCTTCAAAGCCCTTCTCTGTGCAAGCCTTTTTCCATGCTTCTGTCCCTGCCTTGAGCTGACACGTGAGGTTTTTTCAAGGAAAAAGCAAGCAAATTCAGCCCAGCAGTTTGATGCCTCATCAATGGTTTTCTTGAACCGGCTCCTATTGATCACCTCACAGCTGAAACCTAGCAATCTGCGTCAGCAACCAAGTCTGAGGACAGGAAAGGAGTGTGGGGGGAACCCATCATCTCTGGCCAAGATCTTTTGTGCATCGGTTTCGCCTCCCAGCCTCTGCAGCATTCCAGCCTTTCTGTTTCGTAAATACACACGCAGCGCCAGATGACTCAGCCCACTGCTTCCCCTCAGGATTTACAACCGGGATACAGGCAGCGGTGCAGGGGAAGGTGAAGGGAGCGGTTTTACACCATGTGAAAACAATGTCGTTTGTTTTGCTGGGCAGACTCACAACCCTCCGACAGGAACGCTCCCACCGGAGAAGCAAAGCCAAGCACAGGAGCCACGCGGCATCCTCCGCGAGCAGCGGCGCAAGGCCCCTTGCAAGGTGCATCCTGCACGAAGCTACAGTAGACACGTGGGATCCTGCCCGACCAAGCCCTCCGTCAGCTTTCCAACACAGCTGGGGCTGTCCAAGCCACTGACTCAATATACTGTAATTTAAAACAAAACTAATCTCTTCAGTTAAAAAAAGAATCAGTTACCCTGAAGACTTACTCCCTTTCCCTCTCCTCCTGAAAAAAAATCAGAGATTACCGAGCCTTTGGCTAAGAACTGCTTTGCTGGAGGGATGGAAACCTTGACAGTGGTCACTCTTAAGGAGTAACAGATGTGCCTTTCCACTAGAAGTCCCTTCTGCCCAGCTGAACTCCAGTACGTGTAGGAGACCTGGTGTGCCAGATTCTCTGGCGAGGAACATCCCAGAGACACTTCCAGACCTCTGGAAATAGAGGGCAGCCAAGGAGGATCAACATGGCAAACACCGTGCTTGGCTGGGCTGGAAGGTAACCTGGCTGGCAGTTCTGCCCACACCAACCACGGCTGGCCAGGGGTGGAAGCTTACCTTTCACTCATGGCAAAGGAACAGAAAACGGCCGCTTGCGAGTGCCTGGGAAGCGACTGACCTGCCAAGGGAGACTTCATGTTGAACCAACCAAATATATAAATAAAATAGAGAGCATTTTCCCTCCAGCCAAGCAGAACTGTTGATGAAACCACCTTTCTGCATGACACATTTAGCAGTGCTTCGAGGAAATCAGAGAGGCAGTAAATCCATTAGCACAGAAAAGCCTCTTTTTCCAGACAGTACACTCTCAACACACAAGATTTTCATCTGTAGAACAGCTTAAGAGCCACAAGTTCACAGATACCTGGAGTGTGCCAAAAGTCGATCCAGCGCAATGGGATGGGTGTTCATCCACGCAGCTGTGTCACGGGAACACAGGCCCTGCTCCAGCAAGCTGAAACTCCCTTGACTGATACAGACTGTGCCTCTATGGAGAAGCATCATAGAATGGCTTACGTACGCTTCTGTTTAAAAGTTCCTCCTCTGTTACTAAGGGTGTACCTAGCACGAGCAGCTGCTAGAGCTGGAGTAATGCATGCTCTGTCCCAGATTTCTCACAGATCACTGAAATCCCTTCAAAGGGACTGCGCACTGTGCTGACAGCCGAGAGGTTCGCTACTCCCGTCGGGAGAGGTGGGCAGGCACCTCTGGAGACTCTAATCCAAGTCCCTGCTTGGAGCACGGTTAGCTGCAGCATGTTGCTCAGAGCAACCCATTCCTGTTTCTGACAGCCCTCAGAGGGAAAAAGCTTTTTCTTACATTTAAATAGAATTTTCCTGCATTCCCGTTTGTGCCCATTGCCTCCTGTCCTTTCACCAGATACCACCGAGAAAAGCCTGTCTATGTTCTTTACTCCCCGCGCTGGGCATTTATACATACGTATGAGATCCCCCTGAACTGACTCTTCTGCAGGCTGAACAGTCGCAGCTCTCTCAGCTTCCCCCCCTGTGACAGATGCTCCAATCCTTTCATCTTCATGGCCCTTTCCTGAACCAGTTCCAGTGTGCGCACATCTTTCTTGTACTGGAGAGGCCAGCACTGGAGCCAGCATTCCTCATGTGTCTCACCAAGGATGAATAACGGAAAAACCACCTCCCTCGACCTGCTGGCAACACTCTGCCTAACGCAGCCCAGAGGCTGTTGGCCTGTTGCCACAAGGGCACATTGCTGGCTCACGTTCAACTTGGTGTCTTCCAGGACCCCCAAGTGGTTTTTTTGCAAAGCTGCTTTCCAGCTGGTTGGCCTCAGCATGTACTGGTGCATGGTGTTACTCCTCCCCAAGGGCAGGGCTCTGCCCTTCTTTCATGAACTTCAGGAGATCCCATCCCTCCAGGCTGGTGATGTCCTTCTTAACAGCAGCACAACCATCTGGTGTACCAACCACTCCTCCCAATTTTGTGTTATCTACATAACTGCTGAGGACACACTCTGTCCCCTCAGCTAAGTCACTAATGAAGATGTTGAACAGTGTTGGCCCCAGTATCAACCCCTGGGGCACACCAGTAGTGCCTGGCCTCCAGCTGGATTTCAGGTCTCCAGTCACAACCCATTGAACATGGCAGTTCAGCCAGTTTTTGCCTCACCTCACTGGCCGCTTCTCTAGCTTGTACTTCATCAGGTTGCCTACGAGGTCGTTATGGGAGAGTGTTGAAAGCCTTAATGAAGTCAAGATAAACAACATCCACCGCTCTCCCCTCAGCCAGCAAGCCAGTTATCGGAGTTTTACACACATCAAGACTGTAAGATGACAGGCTGTAATAAATAAAGCCAACATTTTCCCAAGCTGTCTGCTCATCAGAAACTAAACATAAGTAGTAAGGTGTGTCTGCGGTTCTTTTTATAGTTATTAAGAGCAAGTAACATTGCATGTCTGTGGGTTGTTTGTGTTTCTGTTTTAGGATGAAAATACAGAGATAAGAATACTCATATATCACCAGACAGACAGAATCTGTTTCCCTCACCTGTATTTCTAGATGCTACCTTAAACCAAACAACAGTTGCAGTAGAGAGATATTGTGCGGAGTCATTTTAATCAGCATTCACCTGCATTCAGTTTACAGCTGAAACATTGGCACTGTATCAACTTACATCACACCATTTTGGCAGCATCTGAATGCCTCCCACTAGTGCATCACACTTTCTCTCTTGGCCTTTCTTTTCATAAGGTTAGAAGAACATCTTGTTCAGAAATTTTGTATAGTGTATACAAAAATCATACAAATAGGTTGTTGCTGCTTTGTTAAAGTCTTGGGCGAGATCCAAGGAAGCTCTGGCCTTTTGCAGCCTGAACTTCATCCTAAGAGAACAAGTCACTCTACGTTAAAGAAACCTTGATTTGAGTTTCACCAACGGGCAGGGTTGCTACAAGGAGACTGGCCTATTCCAACCAGAGGGAGGACGTCTACCTGGAGATCCCTTACTACACTTGCAGCACCCGCAATCTTCGTCCCATTGTAAAAGCCACACACGAGCACCTCCTGGCCGCAGGGAAGAGCAGCTTTGTCCAGATAGGATGCTTGCGCAGAACTCTCACAAAATGGCAAAATACAGCTGACATAGCCTTCAACCATTCCCTGCAGGCAAGGGCCCTCCTCACACACCCTGAAGGCACCTGCCTAATGATATGAGTATCATGTATTTATGCTGAATTCAGTGTCTCGGTCATAACTATCCGCGCCTTGATGAGGTGCGTCTATCTCTTCCACCAGGTCACAGATAGAGATAGGCCCCAGGACAGATCCCTGGGAAATTCTGCTGGTAACTGGTCTTCAGGTAGAGTAAAAACCACCACCATTTTCTTCTTGAGCCTCAAAATCCAGCCAGTTATTTACTCATCTACAACCCACCCATCCACAGCCCACCCACTTGGACCATAACATCTCAACTTGGGCACACATTTGGCTGGACAAGGCTGTCGCTGTTGCTAAGCCCCACCACTCCATCCTAAGCCAAAAAACATCCAGTTTTCCATCCAGAGACAGGCTTTAAAACTGGGGCAAACATATTTCTTTTTGACTTACAGCAAAAAAAATACTTGTTTTACAGCAGTCAAAAAAAAATACTTCATGTAAACTTTTCTCCATGTTGTGGGTGGGGAGTTGAGAAAAGCAAATCAGAACAGTTTACTCAGGGTAAAAAGAAAAAAGAAGAAAACTGAAAACCAAACCAAAACACTGACAGAAATTGCATTTGCTGGAGCAGAGTCATTTTGACAGAAACCTTCTGTCCACCTCTCCTTTAATTCAGCCTGCTAGGGCTAAAGTCTAATTTCATTGAAGTCAATGGGAGACTTTCCTCACTATAGTCAGAATTTGGTCCTCAGATTGAAAAAAAACACAAATTATGGGTACAAACAGTCAAAAAAATCCAATTTAAGAACCAAGGTTTTACGCTGAATATTGTATTTCAAACATAGACATTAACAGCATGAGAGCCTTGGAGGGCTTGGACAGCTCCAGCCAACAGGCAGAGCCTAAGAGGTGCTGTGGAAATGGGGACAGTAAATTCCCCACGACAAGTTTATTTGTTGGCAAAGACAGAGCAATTCCCTTCTGATTTATTTCTACTTTGAAAGAGACATTCAACAGCTTCCCAGCATTAAGACATTTTCACACTTAAGTCCAAAAAGGGCTTAGAGCTACTTATGCCCAGTTACTGTACATTTCCACAACAGCACAGAGCCTTGGCAGGCTTCTCAACCAGCTGGTGAGCCTCAAATTCACCAGAATGTGAGGAATAAAATATTTTTCCTCCCAAATTTCTGAGCAGCTGTTTCTCAGGAAAGACACTGGCCAACTTTCAATGGATCTGCGTAGTTGCAGGGCAATCACTTAAACATTGCTCACAAAGCCAAGGGTGTCTTCACCTCTCTAGCACCATTTTAAGAGGGACTATTCCACAGCACAGAAAATGTTTCTTGAGCTAAGCTGAACAAGCTTAACAGAAATGCAGGAGTGTCCAAGGAACTGAAGATAAGTCTGTCTGCTCTCTTCACGTCATAGCCCCCTCCATAGCCCTTCCATGAGTTCACATTGGGAAATGTCAAGGTTATTTCAGGGACCCAGAAGCCTTCCAAATGAGGAATCCACAGAGCTAAAGAGACCCCTGTGCTCCTCTTTCTTTTCCCTACCTTTGTCAACATAGTTTCAGCCCTCCCTTGCACTTGCAACGGTATCCATCACACCCTGCATTGAGCCCTATCAACTCTAATTCAGTGGAAGATACCCGCAACAACAAAGGGGTTGGGTTTTTTTCTTTTTTGTTTTTTTTCCCTGCTAGGTTGACCAGATAAATTGGTTCAGAGGGTGGGTTGGCTGTCAGAGCAGGCATAAAGCAAGCAGCAGAAGTGCCTGGCTAGGGAAAGAGCTAAGGACACGCATGGCAGCCACCCCTTCCAGTGAGTGTGAGGTGTTCAGCAGCTCAGGTCCTCTCCTGTGATGACAGCCTTAGAGACCTCACACCCACTTCGCTCACTCTCTTCAGGCTCTCACTGGACTGGAAACTGTTGAAGGTCAGACTATCCCATCCCTTTCTCTCCCTCATTACGCTTCCCACCTCTGGCATCTCTGTTAATTCTAAACCACCCACATGCTCACTTCATGTAACAGCTCCATCCACTAACATTTAACAGCTGACATTCTTCCCCAACTTGTTGATTCAGAAGCATGTTTTCTTACACAGTGACACGCCAGAATATTGAGCCTATTTCATGCAGGGAAGAGTCTCCCATGAAGCCCCTTGCTTCCCAATAGAAGAACCCTTTTAGTTAGCATGGCTGATGCTCATCACTAAAATACACCTTCAGTAAGTCACAGTGCAGTGCCCTGATCACTATCTCAGTGTCCAAGGTACCCAGAGCATGAACTTCTCACCAAACCATTACATGCTGTTTCCCCATCATCACCCTCACTTACAAACCAGAAAAAAAACCCAAACCACCACACTCCAAAAAACCTCCTTCTGGCTCTCAAATCAGCAGCAAGGATGCTTGGCTGGATCCTCAGGGCCAAAGCACCCAATAACCAGCGCTGTTCAAGATGGCCAAAGCGAGACTGCTCTAAATTGTGCTGAGCCCGAGCAGCTCTTCCAGGAGGGAGGCTCTGCAGCACGGTGTGCTTCCCCAGCTGTACTGCATATTCCCTTACACTAGCCAGAGCATACAAACACGTTTCTAGGAATATATGCGTCGCTGCCATTCCTTCTCAAGAAAGATACTTCAGTAACATCAACCAGAGCGTGCTCACCCCAGAGAGCGTGCTCTGGCGTTTCCTGCACAGCTGCCAGTCCAACGATGCCTTATTTTCAGGGACAAGCTGCAAGACTGCTGCTGCTATCGAGCCCTGTCACGACAGAAAACCAAGCACAGGACCATCCTGGGTGCCTCGGCCGCATGCCCCCCTCCAGGACACCTGGTGCAGCTGCAGGGGCTTTTCTGCTGCTCTGCACCCCCTGCCCACCGCTTGCTCTGTCTCACGGGACCACAGTCGCACCGTAAGAAGGCGAGAAGGTCTTCGGCCACTTTTGCAACACTGTCAGTGTGCAACCCTGCTGGAGTCTCCATGTCCTGGGCACAGGGGACACCCCGTCCTCCTGGTGCCAGGTAGAGCCCTTTCCAGTCTGCAGCTGGGGGTTTGGGAAGGAAATCCCCACCTGGGCAGGGGCTTTCCGAGGCTGCTGGGCCACTGCAGCCCTACCTGGAGGGACGAGCAGGTAACCCGTAGTGCAAAAGGCTCAGATAGATGGCAACAAAGGGATAAGTTTCACCCCAAACAACCAGTACGAGGTAGACGTTCATCACAGGCTCTTGCTGTATGCCATCTTCTAAAGATCTTTTAGATTCAGACCCCAAATCAGTTTCAGGTTAGCAGAAACCCTATTTACTTCTGCTGGGTTTGGATCAGGCCCCTCCTAGGTACAAAAACCCCAACAGTTAATGGAAATGCAGCATGCATGGAGCTTCCACTCCTATTAGCAGGTCTTTCTGAGAGGACACAATTTTCCAGCCATGCATTAAGCCTGTCCAATACTGACATCAGCTCATTTCCATTGATC